TGCTCGGCAGGAAGCCTGCTTCTCCCTCTCCCACTCCCCTGCTTGTGTTCCTGCTCTCGCTATCTCTCTCTCTGTCAAATAAATAAATAAAAATCTTTAAAAAAAAAACAAAAAACAAAAATACATGAAATCATCATCTTCCCTGGGTCCAACAAATCAAAACTGTCACCGTGTTGCAGGAGCTGTTAATGAACTCAGGTTACAGGTGTTGGGGAGAACCTCCCGGCCTTTCCCTTCCTGCCTCCGGGCCATCAGCCACCATCATTGTCCGCATGAAAGTCTCTTACCTTCTGTATTTTACTGCATGCCAGCTGGTTCTCAATATTGCTCTCTACCAGCCTAACACACCACTCGGGGATACGTTTTTAATAAAGCATTATAAATTTGGGGGAGGGATACACTGAAGTTTGACCTCCTGTATCATGAAGGTAAGCACTCGATAATCAGAGATGAGATTATCGAGTGTCAAGTGTGAGGAAGAGGAGGATGATAATATCTAGGGGAGAAAAAATTCTTAATTTGCCTAATTTTGTATTTTACGGTCCTAAAAGTTATATTTGCCATTTCAACTTCGTTTTCTTCATAAAGTCTTAGGTTCCTTATCCTTGAATTCTTTAAAAGGTTTTATGGAGCATGACTCCTAGAGTGGTTTTTTTAAAAAATGTTTTCCATATTACTTGAAGGAAGGATTCTTTTGTTTTAATTCAGTCCTTTCTCTTACGGCCCATATTATATCTCCACCCAGAATATAAAACGTCTTCCAGTCAATACTGTCCCTGATAATAGCTGTTAAGAATTCTGAGTTGGGATTCCCACGTTGGCACTGTAATGAGTGACAGGCCGCTTTTCAGTGGAAAAGTCAGGCTTACCCTTCTAATGGGGAGGGCTCATGTCCCAGCAAATACCTTTCTGAAGCTCCCCCTCTTGACCTAAAACCCCTGAAAAGGCACCTTAAGTGTCCCAACTCCTAGTGTAGAAAATACTTAGGGATGAGTTGTATTAATGGTACAGTAAATACATAGCTGTGACTATAATTTTCAAGAAGCAGTGATGTGCAGCATTAGTGATGAGAGAGTGTTAAATGAGTACGTGACACCAGATAGGGATGTGCACTTTCTCCTGCCCCCCTCCCCTTTTTCTCATGCTGTAAATCCTCTCTAACTGAAGTGTTATGAATGGATGCTAAGTTAAAAATCATGGATCCTGTGCATTAAGATATATAAGAAAACAAATTCACATTTTATTTTATTATCCTGGCATTTCAGATGCCTTTTTTTTTCATGCATATGGATTTGTTTTGAAACATTTTTCACAAATGATACTCATGCCATCCTTTGGTGAGCTCCAAAAATATCTTCCTTTTATTTTAGCAAACAATGCCATTCTCAGACACATCTGAGCCCCATAAGACTCCCTAAATGAGTATAAAATCCCATGTTTTCGTGAAAAATAAATTCATTGTTTAATTATACTCAGGTTTTCTCCAAAGATCCCATTTGTGAGAAACTTGCTCTTCCACTCAATTTCCTCATGCCTGTGTCTGCTTTCTGAAGCATGTTTTACCAGACAGGGAAGTAGAAGCGAAGTCAAAGCATTTTTAAAAAATTCTGTTGTCTCTCCAATTACTGAAAGAACTCCTAGCAACGTTGAAGTTTATTTTTTATTTATGTAATTACAACCCTTATTCAAGGTATCAGCATGCGTGGCAAATGGGATCTTACAAATATTATCTTTATTAGGTTGGGCAAGATTTCTAAACTATGTGTGTTTCCCAAGTGATGATTGCCAACATTTATTCAGTGCTGTCATGTGCCAGCGATGTTCTTACCTTACCTCTTTAATACCCCCAATAGCCTAATGTGTAGGAAACATTTTAAAGATGTGTAAACTGAGGCACAGAGAGCCAGTGGTCTGGTTTTCTCTCGCTGCAGAACAGATCACCCCAATAGTTGACGGTTTAAAACAACAGTCATGATCTTTCACGGTCATAGTGGGTCAGGGATTCGGGAGGGGCGTGGCTGTGCAGTTCTGGCTTGGGGTCACTCAGGCGATTGTGGTCCGACCATAACCGGTTAGAATAGGCGGGAATGGAACCAGGAGCTGAAGCGGGCGGGGGCTAGCTGGGAGTCTGTGCTCATCGAGTCTCGGGACCTTTCCAGGGGTCTGGGGGCTCCAGCGTGAGGGCCCCAGGCAGCAAGGTGGAAACCACCCTGCCTTTTGTGACCTCACCTGGGCTACCACGTAACGGCACTTCCACTGTGGCCACAAGCCCACCCGGCTTCAAGAGGAGGGAACATAAACTCCACCTCCAGATGGCGAAATGGGAAGAACACTGTGGGACAGGAGAAACTGCCACTGGCTCCCGAACATACAGTCTGTCATACCAGCGACAACGCAAGTGGGGGCAGAGCTGGCATTCAAGTCCAGGCACTGCACGCGGCCACCATTCTAACGCTGCAGGTGCTTGGTCCTAAATAATGAGTCTTGGGCTGAGCATGTTTTTGATGACTGAAGCATTGTGCATTCTGTGAGTTAAGACCTATGTTCTTTTTTTTTTTTTTTTTTAAAGATTTTATTCATTTATTTGACAGCACAAGCAGGGGGAGCAGGAGAGGGAGAAGCAGGCTCCCCCCTGAGCAGGGAGGCCAACACGGGGCTTGATCCCAGGACCCCAGGAGCATGACCCGAGCCAAAGACAGACGCTTAACCCATTGAGCCACCCAGGTGCCCCAAGACCTATGTTCTTAAGTCTATGGCAATAAAGCAGCTGCCCTTACTCACACATTTGAATTCCAAGGGTTTCCTGACCACGTACCATGGGCCAGTTTCCGTGCTGGTTGCTAAAGCCATAAAGGACACCCCATTCTTGCAGACCAACGGGGGAAAATGCCATTGCAAATAAATTCCACTACAAGGTGATAAATGCAGAAGTGGGTGTAAGACTGGTGAACTGATGGGTGTCTGGGATTTGTTTTAAAGTGTTCCGGGGGCGGGGGGGTGGTGGTGGAAAGAAACAAACTAGGTCAGAGAGAAATGGATGAAATAAGATTTGAAAAGTGTTGGTAATTGCTAAAGGTGGGTAAATGGGTGCCTGGGGGGCCCATTTCTTTCTATTTTTGGATATGTCTGAAAATGCACACGATTAAAGAAATACTAAAAAAACAAGGGAGAAAGGAACCACAGTGGAGGTGAGCATAAGGTGGAGGTGAGGAAGCTGCAGGGAGGCCAGGGCTCCTCCAGGAGCAACATCGGAGTTGCTTTCATATTTGTAATAAAATGATTGTGCTTCTCTTGTATGGAAATGCATTTTCATTATCCTTGAACAGATACTGTTAGGTGAGTGAGTTTGGGAGGACATAGAAAAGTTGGTAAAATAAAGCAGGGAAGAGCTTTGCAGGTGATGAAGGGTATGCTGGCTGGCATCCACTTCTTCCAGCACCGTGGCATGCCAAGTGCTTTGAGCATAGGCTTGTCAGCTATTGAGTCAGCTAGCGATGTTTTCCTACCTGCGAGGTTCACATTCAGTGATAAGAGAATCGGAGGGGAGAGAATGAAACTCACCACTGCTCCTGGGGAACAGGGCTTTTCCCATTGGCATTCAAGGACTTCGGGGATGAAGCTTGTCTTCTTTTCAGTTTTAAAATGCTCATCAGATTGAAGAACTGTATCGTTTGAAAACTGATCTTGGGTGATCATCAACAACCATTGCCTCAGCAAAGGACTGAA